ATTTCCTGAAGCAATATTTGTCAGTACTCAAGCTGATTCAAACTGCAGTGTACAATTCTCTTTTCGTTTGAGGAATTCCACAAACCTGGCCACAACTCCTAGTGTGCTGATAACTTCATCAACAGAAGGGTTAGGTTCTTTTGAAAGCAGTTTTCTGAATTTCTGTGTTGCAGAAAGTTGTTGCTCTGGGCTATTAGAAAATATCTCAATCATGTCAGAAGTAATAACACCACCTGGTGCCATCTCCATGTTATTGATCTGGGCCTCATGAAAGCCACCATCTGACATAACTTCTTCTTCTGTTTCTTCTGCTGTAGCAACATTTCTTCACTTGAATAACTGCACCTCTCTTCTGGTTTCGTAGCTGTAATCCTTCTTCCTCCCTCCTTGTATGCATCTCATCTGGATTTAGAGATTTGTTCTTGTAACTTTTCAGGGGAAAGTTCTCTTTTCCTGGGGTGGTCATGATTTTGGCTCGAGGCACCCGATCCCAGTGCCACTGCTAGGGTGAGGTGCTCACTTGCCGGCCCGCCGTACCTCTCCCACTCACAACCTCCCAGAGCTGGTCCACTCCTCGGCGTTGCTCACCAGGCCTCTCTCTCCCCATTTTCACTATGTTGATTCTTCCTACCTCAGAGCAAGGGTTGTCTTTCCATTTTCTCACATCCTCTTCAATCGCTTTTTTTCAGAGTGCTGTAGTTTTCAGAGTAGAGGTCTTTGATTTCTTGTTAGGTTGATTCCTATGTATTTCAATTTTTTGGACGTTATTGTGAAAGGAATTGATTGCTCCATTTCTCTCTCAGTGAGTCTGTTGTTCGCCTAGAGGAAATCAATTGATTTTTGAGTGTTGAATTTGGTTATTAAGTCTAGAAGACTTTTGGTGGAGTTCTTGGGGTCTTCTATATTACAGTATCATGTCATCTGCAAATAATGACAGTTTGACTTCTACGTTTCCTATCTTTATTCCTTTTATTTCTTTCTCTTGTCTAATTGCTGTGGCAATGTTTCCAAAGCTATATTGAACAGGAGTGGTGATAGT